GCCCCCGGCGGGGCCGAAGGGCGGCCTCCTGCTGCTGCTTCTCCTCCTCGTCCTCGTCCTCCTCCTCCTCCACCTCTTCCTCCTCCTCATCTTTCTCCTCCTCCTCCTCCACCTCTTCCATTCCTCCTCTTCTTCCTCCTCCTCCTCCTCCTCTCCTCCTCCTCCTCTCCTCCTCCTCCTCCTCCTCCTCCTCCTCCTCCTCCTCCTCCTCCTCCTCCTCCCCCCCTCCTCCCCCTCCTCCTCGTCGTCGTCCTCCTCCTTGTGCTCTACTCGAACGGTACCTTTCTATACCTTGCGTGCCTTTACTGCCTATTTTCCCGCCGCCACTCTGGCCCAAGGTGGCCGTCGTCCGCACCCGGTATAACACACGCTGTAATACCCGCTGTATCTTGCGTGCTGAAGATGCGCCTTCCATCCTGATCTTGTGTTCTTGGTTGGTAGCGGAGCTCCGGCTCCTTCCACGTCGCCATGGCCTGCATGGTTCACTCTTCCCTCGCTGCATCCACTCTACGTGTTGCGCTACAGCTGCCCATCGTTTCTCCGCTCTACACTCGCCCTCGTGTATTTGTTGCACTTCGTCAACGCAGGCGACCTCGACATGGACAGTTCCAACAGGAAGGGCCACGGCCCCGCGCCGACCCTCTCGGCTGTTTCGCCCGGGCTCGCGCAGACGATGTCAGGGCAGCCTGGGGACCCGACGCCCTCAATGCATTCGCTTGGCTCGCGCAGACGATGTCAGGGCAGCCTGGGGACCCGACGCCCTCAATGCATTCGCTTGGCTCGCGCAGACGATGTCAGGGCAGCCTGGGGACCCGACGCCCTCAATGCATTCGCCTGTGACAGTAACCTCCGATGTCAGACACTTGCTTGATACAGCGTTCACACCGACGACGTTGGCAAAGGGCCCCGAGCTTCCTGCAATTATGTCGCAGGGGCCATGGGAAAAAGTGGCGGCGGACACGACGCCACTAGTGCACCCGCTTGTGGGTGTAGCCGCAGGCGTCAGACAATTTAGCGACATGACGTTCACATCTCTGGTGTTGGCGACGCGTCCCGAGCTTTTGGTGACTATGTTGCCAGAGTTGGGGGATATTCTGGCAGAGAAGAGCGGTGAGATAACGGAGGGTCCATCAGCTATGTTGTCGGCTTTCGGGGGGCCGCGAAGCAAACCTGGAACGATCCATCTTCGATCCCCTGGAACATGCCCTTCCACATGTCCTGCGCCCCCCCGCTACCTGGCCGACCTGGATCCCGATGCAGACTCCTTTCGATGGTCGTACAGCTGGCAGTCCTCAGTGCAGTAACGACGTGACGCACAACGATAATTCCCATGGCTATGTTGTGGGATGCTCCGGGTGCCGATCGCGCCCCGATCACGCAACAGAAGAACATGCCCGATGCGCTGACGAAGAAGAGCATGCCCAGGACAGACGCCCACGGCGGCTTCGGGGCTCTCTGCCCGAACCGCGCAGCTGGTGGGTTCCTGGACTCCAGCGCCTTCTCGATTCATGGAGGGGGCTCCACTCTGGATGGGGGTCAACGGAGTGGGCGTGGTCGCTGCCGCGAGCTGCATTGCCTGCGTGGGCGCGGGCGGCGGCGGCAGTGGCAAGGTGCGACGCCCCCGCGCCTTGGGGCCCGAGCAACAAGCTCGCGTGCCCTTCCAACGCTGGGCGCGGGAGGTCATGATCTGGTCAGTGGCGAATTTCGACTTCAATGAGTTTCGCCGAGCGGCCTACGTCTCGTTTCGCCTCATTGGCATGGCGCGCGAGCGCGTGGATGAGTGGCTGCCCGCTGTCTTGATCCAGGGAGGACGCATCAGTGGCAGCCCAGCGCCGCCAATGATCTTCCTGACGCGCAGCCTGGCCGAGCGGCGGGGCCAGCTAAGCGAGGAGGGGCGCGCCCGAGCGGTATCGGCCCTGATGAATTTCAACCGCTTGTCGCAGGGGCGCGTCGGCAACCCCCTAACCAGGTTCGACATCTTCCACAACAGCACGCAGCAGGTTGGTCAGCTCATGATCAGCGACGAGACGCTCAGTTAATCACCTTGCTGCGCGCGGTGGGCGTGTCGAACATACAACTCGCCATGATTTTGTAGCGATGCAACATCGCCTGTCCCACGAATGCTTAGCAGCTGTTACGCGCGACCAGTCAGCTGCGACGGCCTGGGCGCGTGGTCGATGGCTCGCTGGGCGACCGCGCCTTGGCCGTTCAGTTGATTCAGCGCTAGGCGTTCTTCAAGGGTGCGGCTGCGCAAGATCAGGCCCAGGGTGCCCGTGGCAATGCGGCCAGTCCAGGCTGGGGTGGCATGGGCCCCGCTGCTCTGGGATCGGCACCGGGCCCCCCTGCGCGCGCGGCAGCCGTGTCTCGCGACTACATCGTCGGCGCGGCGTCGCCGGCGCAGGGGATATACCCAGCGGCATGTGTCGATTCGGTCACCGAACCCGACGCTGCCGGCTCAATTGGCGAGGACATTGCTGCTGGCGATTCCGAACTGCGCGACGATCCTGTGGAACATCGCGGTGCGCGCCTGTTCTGGGCTTGCGATTGCGCCGGGCCCCGACGGCGCAGCTTCGACGGCGGCGAGCCCGCGCGCCGCGTCCGGAGTGTCATCAAACGTAAGGGCAAAGGCCCAGGCAAGGGCTACCGCGCCTTCCTGGCCGACTTGTCCGAGAACGACCCCCGTCAAACTTTCGCTGGCTTTGGGGCGGGCGTGGGTGGAGGGCTCAGGCCGCCGAGGCGATCCATTGGGCCCTGGCGGGGTACTTTTCGAATGCCGCGTGTGCGACTCCGAGGGGCACCGCGTGGGCGACTGCCCGCGGTGCCGACGGCGCGGGCGCGCGCGTTTTTATTGGCGCCCCGGCCTCGTCGGCGCCGCCGCTGCCGCCGACGCCCCCACCGCCTGCGCAACTGCGACGTCGGGGGGCGCCCGGGCCAGCCGCTCAGCAGCTCGCGCCAGGCGCGCGCGCAGTCTGGATGACGAGGGGCATCCCTGGAGCTCCCGTGCAGGGCGCCGACCACTGGGATGGCGGACAGCCGACTCCGGCAATGGCGGCGCCGCGGCCGGCCAGCAGCAGTGCCAAGTGCGTCCTCCGACGGCTCGTGGTAAGCAGTGGGCCGCAGCATTGGTCGAGCTGATTAGGGACCTCATCTTCTGCGTCCTCTCCCGGCCCGCGCGAGGCCGAGCAACTGCGACTTCGTCGAGAACTGGCTGAGGTTATGAGTCGCGTGCAGCAGGGCTCTGCTCGACCTTCGGGTCCGGCGACTACGTCGCCTGCCCGTGCGTCGGGAGTGGGGGGGGCAGCGCCAGCCGCGCATGCTGCGCCAATGGCCCCAGCGGCATCGCAAGCGCCGCCGCGACCGACGCCGCCGCGGTGGGCGGGGCAGTGGGCGGTGCGTGCCCATGAGGGCCAGCTCATATTGCGATTGACTTGGCGACGTTATCGCACGAGTCGCCAAGCCCGCGACCCCGCCTGCCGACGTGCAGCGTCCGAGCTGGGCTTCGGTGCCATCGGTCTGGGTCTGCGCGCCATATGGATCAAGCTCCACGGGGCCACCTCGATCCGCGCGGGCAGCGGTGTTCACCGCCAGTGCCGGTGTCTCCCAATGATCTGGTTTTGTTCAATCAGAACGCACCCATCGACGTTGGCTGGCTAGCTGGGAGGCAGTGGCCATGAGGTTCGCCGCCCGCGAGACCCGGGTTTCGAGCGGCGTTCGATCCGAGCGCAGCGCAGCCTGGGCTTTACTCTCGACCGCGCTCAACGACGACATCTCGATGAGCTCCGCGGCGCGCAGCTAGCGCTAGAGTTTCGACGGCAACGGGGCGAGCAACGGCCCCAGACCGCGCATAATTGGGCAGAAGCCTTTTATGCATTCCCTTCCCGTGCTGGCCGCCGCGCCGGCCGCGCCCCCCATCCGTTTCTGTGTGTATACTACCGGAGAAAAACCCGAGTCATCATCTTTTTAGGCCTATAGGGCTATGGGGTTATAGGGCTATGCGGCCCTGGGGCTATAGGACTATAGGGCGATAGGGCTATAGGGCTATAGGGCTACAGGGCTATAGGGTTATAGGGCTATAGCGCTGTAGGGCTATAGCGTTATGAGGCTAGAAGGCTATAGGGCTATAGGGCTTTAGGGCTATAGGGCTACCGGGCACCCGGGCGCCCCAGCGCCCAGGCGCCTGGGCGCCTGGGCGTGCCGCCGAAATCGGCGCCCGACCTCACCTGACCATGTGAATCCGTTAGGGTCCCTACAGAGGCGCGCTCTGATCGAGGAATGTATAGGTATGCAGTGGGCGATAGGGGGTGTCGTATCTGCCCCGAGGTCTGTGTGCGTGGCGCGAAGCTAGTGCGCTTGCCATGCCGCCGCATCTTGCACCTGGCATGCCACCTGCAGCTGATGCGGAACGCCGACGCTCGCGTGGTGTTCTGCGCGGCGTGCTGAGGCTCAGCCGCCGTCATCGCCGATTTCCGTTTCATTCGTGCAGATCGTGCTCGGGCGGGTCCGATGCCTATGATGTCGGCCCGTGCGGCAGATCGTGGTCCGACGGGTCCCCGGTGCGGCAGGATCTTATGAGGTCGCTGGTTAGCGCGTCCAGTCTCATGTCCGCCCCTGACGGGGCGGTGCTACGACGTTCACCTGGGCCCGCGCGTGCCGCCGCGCCGACCGGCGTTCCCGCGGCGGCCCGCGTCGTCAGATGCATGCGCGAGTCCACCTTGCGACGCGCCGTATTATCTGGCGAGCACCGACCTCCCGGACGGCCGATTAGGCGTTTTTGTCGGCTCCGGCGCTGGGGCCAGCCTCTGGGGGCAGCGCTTTGCCATGAGCCTGGCCTAGAAGGCTCAGAAGGCGAAGCTGGGGCCCGCGGAGGCGAGGCTGTCGACTCCGCTCTATTGTGGCAGGAGTCGGCAACTGATCGCAGGTTTCGCATTGGGAGGTTCGCTCCCCCATCGCAGTGACCAGCCGCGACGGCGTGAGCACGCGGCGCGGCATGCGCGCTCCGG